AAAGCAACTGGGGCTTTTCAATTTAGAAAAGAGGAGACTGAGGGGGGATATGATAGAGGTCTATAAAATCATGAGTGGTGTGGAAAGGGCGAATAAAGAAAAGTTATTTATTAGTTCCCATAATAGAAGAACTAGAGGACACCAAATGAAATTAATGGGTAGCAGGTTTAAAACTAATAAGCGAAAGTTCTCCTTCACACAGCGCATAGTCAACCTGTGGAACTCCTTGCCAGAGGAGGCTGTGAAGGCTAGAATTATAACAGAGTTTAAAGAGAAGCTAGATAATTTCATGGAGGTTAGGTCCATAAAAGGCTATTAGCCAAGGGGTAGGAATGGTGTCCCTGGCCTATGTTTGTCAGAGGCTGGAGATGGATGGCACGAGACAAATCACTTGATCATTGTCTTCAGTCCCACCCCCTCTGGGGCACCTGGCGCTGGCCACTGTCGGCAGACAGGCTACTGGGTTAGATGGACCTGTGGTCTGACCCAGTACGGCCATTCTTATGTTCATTCATTTTAAACTGAGAAATATACTCAGAACCTGGGCTCTTCTTCAAGTGGGTGCAGGCATGTATTCTACTCTAGTGTGACAGTGCCCAGTGCCCTGAAGCTGGAAAATTTAGTTTAGTAGTACCCATTGGAGCAGCAGTACCCATTGTCCTGTGTCCCGTGTAAACCCTTCCAAAGTGATATAAGGGCTGTGGTGCCTCAATTCCCGTCAGTTCCTTCTCATTGCCCGCACGCATGGACTTAGATTCTTTGCCCAGGAGGAAGAGGACTATTCTTTTCCTCTGGGGCCAGAAGTAGGAGAGCCCAGAAAATTGACTTGGTCTGCTGCAGAGCTGGAGAAATTCCTCCTCCCTCTCTAAGAGGGCAGACCAACAACATTAGTTTTCCAGTGCTTGGGATAGAGCTGGACTGTCAACGCTCTGCCTGGTACCGATGTCTGCTCAGTTGGGCTATGTACTGTCAACTCTGGTACCATTCTGGGTCATCCAGCTCTGATGAGAGTGTCTGCATAGGCAGTCTCCTCACCACCAACGTATCAGGCAGCAGCAGAATTGCTGTGCCTGTCTGCTCCTGTCTGCTCAAGAAAAGTTGACTGAGTTATATATAGCTTCATCTTCTGTGTCCTCAGCACCTGCTGGATGGGTGGCCAACTTACTGTTACTGCCAGCACGTTCAGCAAAGATAGCATCTGCTCTCAGTACCACACAGGGTCTAGGGCCCTGCAAAGGTGAGACACAGCATTGCAGGGCCCTGGGCCCTGTGTGGTACTGAGGGTAGATGCTATCTTTGCTACTGCTGACAATTCCAGCACAGTCTCTATCTGCTTTGTGTTTGGTCCCAATGCTGCTTTGGTACCATATATGAGTGTAAAACGTTTACCAGCACTCAAAGTACCTTCAACTGCACCATCCCTGGTGCTGATTAAGCTGACGTGTTGGACCACAGATAATTCAGTCCCTTTATTGGCTTCCCCATTACTGACAGGCTGCTGTGAAGGGGCTTCAGGATCGAGGCAGGACATGTCTCCTTCTCCTTTCCCTTTGCAGTACCACTCAGAGATTTGCAAGGCCACATGGATCACCAGTGATACTGGGATTGGTTCCACTCCTACAGCAGGGACAAAGCTTCCTGATCTATTTCTTACTGTCCACGAGCCACCTTTGTTACAGCCACAGACTAGAGGGGCTCCCTCTAACCTGGTGCCACCTGATCCATTGAGACAGTCACACGTTACCACATGAGATTCCAATGGTCCCACTTTCCCCTTCGCCAGATGATACCGTGGCCCCCAAGTTCTCCTCTCCAGAACCAAAGTCTTTAAAATCTGCTCAAGACCTCCTAAGACAAATGGCATTGTCACTGGGTAATCCTCTGGCGGGCCAGGAGACAGTTTGCTTACCTTGAGCATCCATGGTCACGGCCCCTTGCTGCTCCTGGTGGTCACGGTTCACCATTGTTCTTTGAGATGTGGATGAAGATGTTGCCAACCTCCCTGCCAAGGAATCTCTGGTCTTGGATTCAAGTGCCAAGGAACTGAGCCCCATCATGGTGGCTCTGCTCTTATGTAGCCTTGGGAAGGGCTTCGTGGGTCAGGTGTGAGCACTGCCCTTACAGCTACTGCTAAGCAAAGTCCTCTGGCTTTGGTGCGCTGGTCCTGTGCACATCTGAGCGGAATACACAGTGGCACTCACATCTCAAAGAACAGCCGTTACAATACAGGAAAGTTACTGTATGTTTGGGGTGGATGGTGTCAGATGTATTTTGCTCTTCTGAACAACTGACAAACAGTTATCTTTAAAATAACAATTATGATTTGATGTATTCTATCAATTACATCTAGTTTCTTTGCATATAGCTGTAAGTCAGCGGTGGGAAACTTCAGGCCTGGCCATGTGGCCTCTGGCCCCTGGCTTGCCTGGATCTCCCCCAAGGTTCAGCCTCCCCCGCCAGCATTGGGGAGCCCGGGTTGGCATTCCAGCCCCCTGCTGCTGCACTGCAGGGGTGGAGCACACAAAATCTACTAGTCTGGGCCCCGAGGTTCTGGTGTGTGAGCGAAATGTGGGGCATGTCTTTCTCCTTCTCAGTCGGGGGCCATGTCAGTGAGGGTTTTTTGGGGTGTGTTCCTTGTGTGTGGCCCCGACTGATTTTTCTGTGGGTCAGCAGCCCCCAACCCAAAAAAGGTTCCCCATCCCTGCAGTAAGTAAATGCATTTTTAAATTATGAGAGATTTACATAAATATCTTGTGGGTATATTCTCTCAAGCCCCATTTCTTCACATATCTTAAGCCTGTGCTTAACAGTAAGCACATGAATAATTCCTTTACTTGTGCCTTAAATTGAGGTCCAGAACCAACAAAACACTTAAAGATGTGCTTAAATCTATGTTCTGTTCTGGTCAGTCCTTAAACAGTGCGTAATTAGAGATTAATGTCTTCTACAGTATTTTCCTGTATAGTCTGTTAAAGAGGGCTATCGATCTTGCATCTTAGCTATTGCAGTAGCTTTGAATTTTCCTGGGAACTTCATGGAGTTGCATGTTCCACAATGCAGGGCCGGATCCCCTAGGCCAGCTAATTTACGCTTGACACTGGACTTAGGATGGGAAGGAAGATTCTGTGCCTTTTCTGATCCTCAGCTTGGCAAGAAGCTGAATGGCCCTGAAGTAATTTAGTGAAGCCTAAAAACTGCTCTAAATTACCTTGGTTCCTTTGACTGGCCTGCCAGAGGATATTGCTCTCTCGTTCCACTTCTAGCCTTCTCAGTAAACGCCCTCTATGCCACATGGGGATTGCCTCTATGTTAGGGGAATCCGTAATTTCTCTGCTTTTTCTTGATGTCACCGGAGAGGCACAAAAGGGATGGAGCGATAGGCCAAGAGCATGGGGGAATGAACTGGAGCACTAAACAAAAAGGCACATAAGGGCAAGAGGGAATAAGGGATGGAGCTGTTAACCAGAGATTCAAACTTCTTTTCTAGTGACGTTGTGCGACTGGAGAAACCTGAGCTTGAGGAACAAAGAACCCAGCTCATTGTGAGAATCAATGCTGATAAAAATCAGCTGAAAGCTATTGAAGACAAAATTCTAAAAATGTTGTTTACTTCTGAGGGGAACATCCTCGACAAAGAAGAACTCATCAACACACTCCAAGAATCAAAGGCAGGAGACACACTTTTACTAGACCTTGTTTTAATTAAAAATAAGTGATTGATTGAGGGCTGGATGGTAGGTTACTCAGGGAAATAATTCATGTTTCTCCTTTAGACATTGACTTTACAGATCTGTAGTCCTAAAATAATAGGCCATGCTCTCAAAATCCAGACCTAGGTAATGCACTTAGTCTGACTTAGGGATCACATGTTCCAGTATAAAACCATTTTGAAAATCTTAATTAATTATATCTGTAGTTTCCTATCAGTTGTTTTTGTTAATGTTTTAATATGATGTTTTAGTATTTTAATATGGTAAGTTAGCCAGGCAATATTTACCTATACAAAATGCATGCTGTTTTGTTACCATCATAAAAATATTCTGCTAATGTGGTTGCCATTAAAAAGTTGACATTTGGCAATAGTTGTATGAGGTACCATGCTTTCCCCTCAGACTTAGAGTAGGGAATAGCTGTTAACAGTGTGAAATATGCTTGAAAATACTAACGTCACTGATTGTCACTTTACATATATTTGGCTCAAGATTTTTTCTTTATGAAAAGATAGTGTTTTTGTTTCAAGAATTCATGTGCAATAAAAATTCCGTGGATTCACTTTGCTAACCAAGGCTAGGTTCAGGCACATGTCATGTTGAGTTGTATCATACTCCACAAGTAATCTCACTGAAGCAAATAGGATACTGCCTATTTGCTCCCCACTGTGAATAAGGACTATACAATCTTACCAGATGGACCTGTTTGCAAAGTAAGATGCTACTCAGTGTGAAATCAATAGTAAGGATCTAGCTGTGATTCTTAGGATTCCTTAGGTGGGCCTACTTCTTAATGGACAAAAGTCTGTGTTACAGAAACCACAGTCCCAGTTGGTCAAATCTGGCTCTCTAGTTCATGGTCTCGGCCACTTATTGAACAAGCCACGAAAAATGAACTTCCATTTCACTCCAGCAGTTGGTCCTTTGAGGCCAGGCCTGAGATACCCCACATGGGTAGTGTGAGGAAGCTCACACTACTGTTACCCTTGTGATCTCAGAACTGTGCGTACTTTGGGTGAGGGAAAATGTAACCTGTCACTCTAAATGCTTTCTGACTGATTTTGGCCCATAACGTTCATATTTTTAGAAGTGTAATAAATTAAACTAATACCATGGAAAGCCAGAAAATCAGACCCCTTAGTTATTCATTCATTTGAAAGTTTTGGAGTGGTCATCTGCATTTAGGGGCAGAGCTTCAGATGAAGTAACTTGGCATAGCTTCACTGAGGCTTAGGATTCAGCCCATAATTTCCAGCAGTGTGTGGAGACTATCATTCTAGGTGAAGTTAAGTAAATTTCTTTTTCACATTCCCATCAACCCTCCAGTGCCTCTTAGTAGAGAGGCTGATAAGTTGCTTAATTTGTATATGGTTATAGTCTTCAATTAATTATGTGGTAGGCATTCTAAACATATTTTCCATTCTTTTTCTTGTCATAATTTTTATTCTCAGGTTTTCATGATCTTCTGGGATACTGTCTCTGTTGAATACCTACTAGTTATTCTTGGGGATAAACTGACATTTTTGACTAATGACATTGCCTCTGTAAATTACAAAATGCAGCATAATACATTGATTTGCATAAATGCTTAGCATTTCACTTTAGCTTATCAAAGGAACTATTATTCTCTTCTGAAAGCATCCAATAGCTAAGACATAACCAAACCTGGATCTTGAGCTTCTGATTTATGGCAGCCAAAATTTCCCTGCAGGTCTAGTACTAGAAGCATGCCTCTCTCAGAATGGGATGGCACTTTTACATGACTTTGGCGAGTGAGGCATAAAATTACATCAGTGCCATCAACATCAACTGAGGAACATGCTCAGACTTCTCTCGATCATGAAATGCTTTCTGAAATGCTATTAGAACTTGTTTCTTTTAGGTTACATCTGGTGCCATTAAATCAAGGCTAGAAGAAGCTGAGGCTACCGAAGAGAAGATAAATGCCGCTCGTGAGAAGTACCGCCCTGTAGCTACTCGAGGGTCTGTCATGTACTTTGTAATTGCAAGTCTATCAGAGATTGATCCCATGTATCAATTTTCCTTAAAATATTTTAAGCAGGTGAGTAAACAGCATTTTGCATAATGAAGATATGAATAGAAATAGTTACATATAACAGGCAGCAAAATTTAAGCCTTGAAGAAGAGGTTTTCTTTCATTATATCAACATTTCTGTTGCTAGTTTTAGAAGAAGTTTGGAAAATAAGTAATTCTATAAAACTTCCAAGCATGATTCAAAGTACTGTTTCCAAATGTAGCCATTCATTTAGGTGTCTAGAGATAAGTTGTCTGATTTTCAAAACTGTGGACCACCCAGAGACTCCAGTAAAGTCAATAAACGTAACACAATGGTCAGCACCCCTTAAAATTGCTGTTGTTTAGGGGCCTGAATTTAAACACGGAGTTTTATAGTATTTCACATGAGCTATTGTGTCCAGCATCTCACAAGAAGTATGCAGAAGAGCCCAGATCCTTCAGATCTCAGGTGTTAGCCACAAGACCCAGAAGAGGACTTGACTTTTTAAAGTCACCTTATTTTTCTAGTTCAGTGGTTTTGAAATTTTGGACCAAGGAACAGTGGTGCTTGTTACAGCATTTCCCTGAAATCCACAGAGCTTCCTATGTCACAGTGGCAAATTATCTCTATCAAACAAAATCAGAGGCTGTAAGCCAGAGTGGGCAATAAGATGGAGGTGGTTTTCCAGGGTTACCCCTGGCGGGCCATTGCAGCTTTATTTACCTGCACCTTCACAGGTCCAGGCACTTGCAATTCCCATTGGCTGTGGATTGCCATTCCCAGCCAATGGGAGCGGCAGGAAGTGGCAGGGTCTGGGACACAGCTTCCGCAGCTCCTATTGGCTGGGAATGGTGATCCACAGCCAATGGGAATTGCAAGTGCCTGGACCTGTGAAGGTGCAGGTAAATAAAGCAGTGGCAGCCCGGTAGGGGCTAAGCCTGGAGAACCGTGTCCAGCCCATGGTCCGGTTCTTGCCCACCGCTGTTGTAAACTGGACCCATCATATTAAAGAGAGTTTATTTTCTCAGCTTATCTTCTTGTTGTTCTCTTAATGCTACTTCTTCAAAATAGCATGCACTGTAGTAGCCTCAGAAAAAAAGGGGAGGTTTGGAGGAGACATGCTTTCTCATTTAAGTATTGTACAATATGACAGAGTTTGCAAATGACTGTTCCCATTCAGTGAACCCATCTAGAAGCAGGCTGCTATTAACCTTTGGAAATAAGCTCATCACAGCGATGTTTATTTTTTTCTGACAGTTATTTAATACGACAATTGAGACTTCTGAAAAGAACGATAATCTGCAGCAGCGCCTGGCAATCCTGCTTAGTCAGACTCTCTATGCAACTTATACCAATGTTTCCCGCGGCCTTTTTGAACAACACAAACTCATCTACAGCTTTATGCTGTGCATTGAGATCATGCGGCAGAGAGAAGAGCTTACGGATATAGAGTGGAATTTTTTTCTCCGTGGTTCTGCTGGATTAGATAAGGTGCACTTGGAGTAGATTGATGACAAAGAAAATTGTTAATGAATATATATTTTTTGGCTTTGCAAAGCGATTTGTTAATAGTAAAAGGAATTTGGTGTCTAAATTTGTCTTTACACTAGTGGCTTTGATGTCTTCTAATTATGATTTTCTATCATATGATATGATACATGTTGAGGTCTGAAACATTGGAAGTTATTTTAACTATTTGTCACTTAACTAGTTCCAATCCAAAAATGCTAATTAGTCAGCATTTCAGCACATGCTTAAAGTTGAGCATGCACTTAAGTGATGTCCTAAATAAGAATGAATTTAAGATCATGCTTAAATGATTTCTTTTAATTGGGACCACTACCAATAAATTTATCTCTTGTGCAACTTTCACATTTTGACTATTAAAAATAGTAATATATTGGTTGAGCTTTTTTTTGAACTAGGGAGCACCAAATGAAATGAATAGGTAGCAAGTTTAAAACAAACAAAAGGAAGTATTTCTTCATGCAATAATATACCTATCTCATAGAACTGGAAGGGACCTTGAAAGGTCATCAAGTCCAGTCCCTTGCCTTCACAGCAGGACCAAGTACCGTCCCTAATAGATTTTCTCCAGATCCCTAAATGATTGAACTCACAACTTTAGGTTTAGAAGACCAATGCTCAAAGCACTGGGCTATCCCGCCCCCGCAGTTAACTTGTGGAACTCCTTGCCAGAGGATGTTGTGAAGGCCCGGACTTTAATTGGGTTAAAAAAAGAACTAGATAAATGAATGGAGGTTATGTCCATCAATACATATTAGCCAGCACGGGTAGGAATGGTGTCCCTAGCCTCTGTTTATCAGAGACTGGAAATGGATGGCAGGAGAGGGATCACTTGATGATTCCCTGTTCTGTTCACTCCCTCTGGGACACCTGGCATTGGCCACTGTCAGAAGACAGGATACTGGGTTAAATGGATCTTTGGTCTGACCCAGTCTGGATGCTCTTATGTTCTTATTTACCACCTTCTTTTTTCATATTTTCACCGATCCTTTCATCTTTCCAACAGCAACGCCCTGCGAAGCCTGATGTGCCGTGGCTCGAAGACTCCATGTGGTTTATGTGTTGTGACTTAGAGGAAATCCTCCCATGTTTTCAAGGGATTCAGAGTGAAATCCTGTCCACGCACATTTTCATTCAATTAGGTAACGTGCCGAATTAAGAGAGTGGATTGAAAAAAACCGTTTTGTTTATGCCAAACCCCTGCCTCAGGGAGGGTTTTCTGCACTGGTTCTGCTCACATGATATCAAACCGAACAGCTTCAGAAGCAGTAACTCAGACGCAGCAGCAGCTTATTCAAAGCCGTAAGAGGTTTGCTGTGTATGCCTGTTCCATTTCCCTTTGAGATAATGCCGCCTTTTCCCCCTGCTCCCATTTGCGCTCTCAGCCGAGGGCCTTGCTGGCTATCCTCTTTCGACGGGCTGGAGCTTCCCCACATTGGAACAGTAGGAACAGCAGCAGAGGAGGTCAAGGCCTCAAACTGGCAGCCAGGGCTCCCTTCCGTGCCCCGTGAGTGACAGCAGGGCTACCCCTGCCTACTTGCGGCAGAAGAGAAACAATATGATCCCTTCTGTCAGAACCAACAGGGACCCTCTTTCCCCCCCCCCAACTGTGCTCCACTGCTCTCCTACCACACACACAATCGTCTGCAGCAGCAAAGTTGACAGGGCCCCCCAACCAGTGATACTGCAGGCAACCCCGGACTAAGATAAATAGGGCAGCTTCCACCTTGCAAAGCTATTGTTTTAGGCTCTCTTCAAGATCCAGCAGGCATCTCAGTTGCCCTTGATTCCGCTTTTCAAGCTTTTATTTGAAGCCATGAAGGGGAGAAAGTGACTGTGAATGATTTTCTGCTTCGCAAATTCTAAAGGTAAGACCCTGCTAACGACAGTGTCATTTGTAGGGTGCCTGGACGTTCATGTCAACCCAGAAACATCCGAAACGTATAACTCGGAACCCTCCGCTCCTGCAGTACAACCGGAAGAAGAGACAAAGGACGGCACCAGGAAAGCTTGCTGGGACACAAGACTGAGCATGTTTCAGAAATTAATTCTTGTGAAAAGTTTTATGGAAGAAAAGGTAAAAGCCAACTGTACAGAAATTGGCGGGCACCCCAAAGATGCATGACCTTGCAGAATTGGTTATTTGGGGCCGTGTTGTGTCATATGGGTGTTGGCCTGCAGTGGGGATGATGCAGGGATGGACCTTTCCAATGGAAGCTTGGATCTGCTCTGAGAAGAGAGCTAGCCAGGCCTGCTCCTCAAGAAACAAGGGAAGGGGTAAAGTGAATCTACCATAGCAATGCTCTATGTTCTCTCCCAAACAGAGGCACTGAGACTGTGACTAATCCATGCATTGGAGGATGGAGTGGGTTCTTGTGCCAGCCACATCCTGTCCTTTTGTAATAAGTTTTTAACTACTATGGGTCTGTTGCAAAGTTTATGAATTTTAGAGTTCAGTGGGCCGCTGAATTCATAGGGACGACTCTCATGCCTCCATAGACCATGGTCTGTTCTAGTTTGCCAATTCATGTGATGTTATCCAAACTTTTTGGACGTGAAATCAAAATTTTTTAGATGCCCCTCGCACTAACTGAGGCGTGTTTGTGTTAAAACTCTGCAATGAATGTTTTCTTTTAGGGGTTTAGAAGGTTGTTGCTTGGAAGGATTGTAAAGATTTTGAACTTGGAGGGTTGATGATTTTCACCACTGAGTAGTCTATTATTTTTATTGTACCAGCATACACAGGCCCTAGTGAGGACTGGGTTTGATTGTGTTGTACAGACATATGCAAAGATACAGTTCTGGCCTGGAAGTACATGCGATCACGTGTAAAACCTCTTCTCTGTGCCTCTTGCTGCTTGTAAATTGGTATGTTTTCATATCTCCAGGTGGTCTCTGCACTCACTGAGTTTGTAATCGAGAACCTTGGAAAACAATTCATAGAGAATCCGCCTGTTGACTTGGGAACTCTTTATCAAGACATGTCATCTTCAACTCCTCTAGTGTTTATCCTGAGCACAGGCTCCGACCCTATGGGCGCTTTCCAGAGGTTTGCAAAAGAGCGAGGATATTCAGAACGGTACAAATGACATAACTTTATTAAACATGGGATTCTGCTGGGATGTTCATAGACCCTAAGGATTTTAAGGAAACTGGATGTTACATTCTTCCAGTCTTCTTTGAAAATCCCACCCTCTTATGCTTGTACATTCATTCTCTTCAGTTATACCGAAGCATGTGCTGACTGTTTTACCATTGACTTCAGTGGGATCGGAATTTCACCCTCCCTGTACATTAATATATGTTAAAATAAGGTATTTAGTTCTCCAAATGATACACTCTATATTTCAGAGCTCTCTCTATATTTGTAATAGTAGCCAAAGCTACCAAACCAGACTCCTAAAACCATGTTAGGCACCTAACTAACATTGGAACAATTTTCAGAGAGTTACGAGCACTTTTACCTCCCAGAGATTTCAGTGGATTTGTAGGTGTCCAGTATCTCTGAAAATTAGGCTAAATTTATTTAAGGTCTAAATATGGATAGAAGAAGCTAAATTTCAGCACCCACATTCGGAAATGTTGGCCACTGTCTTTAAAAGCTACAAATCCTAAAAACCCTGCAATTTCAAAAGTCACTATATGTTCAAACATTTGCATCATGAACTTTGACAAACTTTGTTCTCTGTTTCAGAGTACGGTCGATTTCACTAGGGCAAGGGCAAGGACCTATTGCAGAAAAGATGATAAAGGATGCAATGAAAACAGGAAATTGGATTTTTCTGCAGAACTGTCACCTAGCCGTTTCATGGATGTTAGCCATGGAAGAGCTTATAAAAAGCTTTACCGAGCCAAGTATGTAATTTTCCTTCTGCAATACAGTATACTTCCCTGAAGGAAGTGCCAAATCAGGAGAGTGCTTTTCCAATCTTTCTTGTCTTTCAGATGAGAAGGGAAAAAACTCAAGAAATGATTGTCTGTAGGATTAAGAAATTGCTCAGTATTACTCCTTTTCTAGGCACTGCAGTGCTCATTTATGAATTACTTTCATGTGCTTGCTTATAGGCTTTCCCCACTGTATCTGTTCGCCTCATGTATATTAAAGAATGTACTCACATTAATTGATTTATCATCACAGTGAAGGGAAATATTATGCCTACCCAGAGATTGGGGACTGAAGCACAGAGAGATTTACATATGATTCATCAAAATCCTCACCTATCTATTTCAGCCAACACACCAAACTACTTTGCCAAATGTCCATTGTTTGGAAGCGGGTGGTTTGGTAAAAGAGTATGTGCAGACAGAAAGACTACAGAGGGGCAGGGTTAAAGGTGTGGTCTGTTGTAGTGACCAGGTGTGTGCTGGTAGGTGACTACCTGTGTGTTCAATGGTTTACAATGGGAATTTTCTTGCTATAGTCACAGTGAAGTTTTTGTACATTATAAAAATTAAGTTCTGGGTTGCTTCAACTATGGGAAAATTCTGGTCACTAACCAGAGGCCCTTTTTCCTTGCTAGACCTTCTTCAACTGCATTCACAGACTCGCAGAGACCCAAACTCCTCTCCCTTTGAGTGTTTCCTTCTCCCCAGCCTTGAGTCCTCTGAAAACCAAACCTTTGATTTCAGGAACTGCAACTGAGCCCAGCTGGTCTGCTTTTTGCCTCTCTTTGGGATCCCTATTAATCCCTTTTCTGCCCTCATAATGCAGTTTGTTTGCACTCCTTCACTGGCCTGGTAAGCTAGTCCTTAGCCAAGTTGTGCATACTGGAGTTGATGTAGAGATCACACTCCTGTTGAAGGTCAGTGGAAGTTAGCCACCTGATTTCTTCACATGCCTTTGGAAGTTCTAGCCTTTTAGTTATTTTACTCTTCCTTCCAGAGTTTCCCTTCCCTTAATTGTTGTGTTGCTTTTCTCTGTGCTCCCTTCAATTGTTCTGTAGCTCTCTATTACTTAAGTGTGTAGAACAGAACACAATATTCCAGGTGAGGTAGCGATGTATTCACTTACCAAGGGAGTGTTATTTATGACATGATGCTTTTGCATATACAGTGCAAAATTACATTAGCATTTCCTGCTGCCTTATCCCATTTCAGTTTCATATCTAGCTTTCCACTATCACCCCTCAATCTCTTTCAGCATTATTGCTTTTCAGGTTTTTCTTTCCCAAGTAATATCTGTATTTCTTATTATTTTTCTCCATGTGCATTTTCTTGAGTCTCACTTTATCTCCTGAATCCCCTGTAGTCCCTATTCTCCAAGCTTTGTGTTCTGTTTTCACTGCCTATTTGTGTTCACTTCCCAAATTATCCACTGTAATTTAAATATAATGCTGTTTAGCCTTTCTTTCCAGTCATTGGAAAGATAGATTTCATTGCAAATTGCTTGGAACTTGTATATGAATTTAAGCAACTGAACACGTTCATGGGAGTATAATGAATGTATTCATTCTTTGCTTTTCAGGTGTTTCTATTCAGGAGAGCTTTCGACTCTTTTTAAGTTCCATGCCTTCTGAAACCTTTCCTGTCACTGTCCTTCAGAACTCTGTCAAGGTAATATATCTGGAAATAACCCTAAGCAAAATGAACAATGCCGGGATGAAATAAATTATGTACAGGGTATCCCAGATCCAATGTCTAATCTGTATTTTCTAACTGATATGCTTTTTGAATGTGGATTACACAAGTTGGAATGTTTGTATCTTTTGCTATATTATTTAGGACTGTCAGACACATCTTTTTTTTTTCAAAATACTAAATGGGATCAGCTGACAGTCAGCCATCCCACCAGTGCAAATTCGAGGTGTCCAAAGTTCCGAGAAGCCAAAATGAGTCCAAAATCCATAGTCTTTTTCCCACTTCAGAACAGATAAATACAACATGTTCAGCAGCCACCACCAAAGTCAGGCCATCCAAGGCAGCATAGTATTGTGAGGGAATGCAGAATGAAACAGAAAAGGACCCCTCCCTCTGCCCTGCACAGCGCTATATAGACAATATTGATCCTGAATGCACCAATTCTCTTGCCAAGTAACTGCAACTTTATCAGCTCTTTAAGTCCTGTATCCCCATCTCATTTTGTGGTTCGAATAGCCTCTGGTTCCCATCTCTATCTGTCCATTAGCCTGCCTGTATTTTACTAGGCTTCATTTACATCCAGGGAACTCAGGCTCCATACTTCAGGCTCTCTGGATGTCTAAAGGTCTGCATAGGACCATCTCTCTCTCAAAGACCTTCATACTCTTTGGAACATATGGGAATTAGGCCTGGTTTCAGGCCATTGCATCATAAAGGCTGTCCAAATGGATCAGAGTATGTATATACGTATTTTATGACCCGCCAAGTGTTCAGACGCCTGGGGATATCAGAGCACACTCAACTAGGTCCAGAACAGCTTCTACAGCATCTTTTTTCACTGTCTTCAGCATCAAAATAGACAAGGCTTCTCCTTGGAGTTCCAAGGATATGTCTACACAGCAGCATTATTTCAGAATAACAAAGAGTGCATCTATGTGACAAGCCATTATTTTGAAATACTGCTGAGCTGGAGGACTTCTTACGCCGACTCCTGTAACCCTCATCTCACGAGGAGTAAGGGACGCCAAAGGAAGAGTGTTCTTCCTCTGTAATTAATTATTTCTCCATGACGATTGCCCTTATAGATCCACTCACACAACTTCCCCACGTCTTCCACGTGAGAGATTCCTAAATCAGTAGCAGAACTGGAAAGGGATTCTGGTCACTCCTCATGATCAACCCGGGGAACCCTTCACATGGAGGGAGAGGCAACACCATGTCGCGACACTACAATCTGCTATGCCAGGGCACAGTGTTCTCCTTATGGGTTGTCATCCTAGACCATCCCTGTAGAGTTTTATACAGGCCTTGTGTGC